CGATATTCAGTTTTAAGGCCGATACCGATAGGGGGCCGATTATATTGTGCATCCCTATCTGATTGGCTGAAAAGTTCCTAGAGCTCCTCCTCTCCACGTTACCATTGGATACCATCAATTTGGCGGTAATGTTAGATTCCTGGGTGTCTGGTTTATGAGCCATCCATCAATCATCCATTCATCCTTCAATCATTCATCCTTCAATCATCCATTGTCCATCCAACCATCATCCATCCAACCAACCATCATCCATCCATCCAACCATCATCCATCCAACCAACCATCATCCATCCATCCAACCATCATCCATTCATCCAACCATCATCCATCCATCCAACCATCAGCCATCCATCCAACCATCATCCATCCATCCAACCATCATTCAGCCATCATCCATCCAACTAACCATCATCCATCCTGGCTCTCAGTTATCAGGATAAATAGTTCTAAAGTCTGCCTTTATCTCCTGTATTTATTCTGGTGAGAACGATTCACTCAGACAGCAATAATCTTTAGAAATAAAAATGCAGAAACTGAAGACAATAATACATTTTCTTAAAATAAATCATTGATTGTTCTTCTCAAACAATCAATGCAGTTCTGACAGAATATAAAACAAGTTTTCTGACTAACTTAATTCTATTCAGTTTATTTCTATAGCACCAATTCAAATACATGTCATCTCAAGGCACTTTCCAGTTCACCAGATCATCCAGTCAGATTGATTCAAAGTTTTCTATCTAGGGAAAACCAGCTGATTGCGTTGACTCATTGACTCTTCAGCAATCCCTCACACTATTACGGTATTAAGTATTAAGGGCGACTTTTGTACAAATCAGGTTAGACAAAGGAAGTAGAGCTTTATATATGGGAAATTGCCCAACAAGAACGGATGAAAATTTAGCTGAGGCGCAGAGGGAACTGTGGCATTAAATGGTCGTCAGTCACCATCACTTCAGGCAGAGGTCAGGTGCATTCATTAAAAGCAGATCCATATAATCCATTCATCCATCCATCCATCGCGGGCCTGATTGCAGTTTCTAATGCTGTAACTGTGGTTTAAGGATTACGTAATACTAGAAACCCACCTTCCCTCAAGTAACGCATTAGAAGAGGCTGCTTGAAGATCTTCATCCATCCATAATAGCCTGCAGCCAGAATATAATTACTTTTTCTCTGGAGGGCCTTGAAGTGCTCATGTTTAAAGACAGACAAGAGGAGAAGCTGTTAATTACTTACAGACCATCCTCAAGCGCTGCAGCAAAGATGTCCTTCAGGAATTTAGCTGAAAAAGGGGAATTCATAGATACGGAGGGTTGTTAATTCTTTTAAAGGCCGGAACCAAATTAGGGCCCCGTCATCAGGGGCCCAGCTTGATTGGCAGGCTTGGAGCATCACGGCTGAAACCTTTTATTATGCAAGAGATCTGAACCATTTGTCCATTAGGGAGGCTTTGTTGTTCTGAAGGAGAGCTTAACAGCTACCCTCTTACAGTATTTTAAGAAGCACCCCAGAGTTTCAGTAAATGCCTGAGAAACAAACAGCAGTACTTAGAGTTTCTCACTGGGTTATTTTTGGAGTAATAAACCTGTAGATGGGATTAAAAAGCTTTCAGGTTTCCAACAGAAAACATTGTTAAAGCGCATCGAGGGAGATCTGCTTCTTCTCACTATTTATCAAACATAACAGCCTGAAATCAAACTTCTCAGCAGAAGCAAAGGCCCGATCCCATTTCTCTCACTTGCATTTGTTTTGGTCCATGGTAATCGGTTTTGCGCCTTCATGTGTAGGGTTAGTGTGTTCCAATAGTTTTAAGAGCTAAGGGGAAATGCCATCCAATCCTTTAAACCAAGTGACTGACTTAGGAACGGAGTGGCTTCCCAGAACTCATTCAGTGAAAGGAAAAATGCCGTCCGGCTGTTGAAAAGTGTCGACTGTTGGGCCGCCGACTGGACCGGACCTCAGCAGCCCCCTTTACCAGCCCCCGTCCTCAGTCGGAGGACGGGGGCTGGGGGCCGGTAAGGCCTG